TAATACGAACAAAATAATTTTTAGTTCTTTAGGCTACTTTTAGAAACATAATAATAATAATAAAGTCAAATTCTACGCGGACGAAGTCGCGGGAACAACCAGTTTTTGCATATGCACAATACTTACGCAGTTGAAAGACGAGTATTGCATGACTGCATGTGAAGCACATTCCTAACAATATAATATAACTGTACAGTAACAAATTAAACTCATTGTTTTGCACAAAATTGACGTAATTACAAATTATCCAATACCAGGTACTTTTAAATATCTTACGACACTTGAATTTTCTTGACAATTTATATACCTAATAGCCATTTCTGTCATAATACCAATTACGTAATCCATACATCTATACATATAAATAAAATTGGAATGTCTGTTTGTAATATCGTAATAACCGTTTTTTAATACGCATATGATATGAATATAAATACGGTACATTCACCAAAATAACATTTTTTGCAATTTTTGTTTGTCTGTCTAGACAGACAGACAGACAGACAAAACGTACATTCACCAAAATAACATTTTTTACGAAAAATTGTAGTCGGAACAAACAGACAACTAAATAAGATAATTTGAATTATATTTTAAATCTTATTCAATAATTATTTTCTACATCCATTCGGTTGACGATATTGTATTTTAATATTATATTTTATGTACCTATCGTCACAAAATAAAATAGATTAATTGTTTGAAAAAAAAGTAGTAAATTTTCGTTTGGTCGCAACCGGTACCTACTAATAAGCTGGTCCTCCGGTTCCTCTCTGTTCATACTCCGCCGAGCAGCAAATTATTCGCACATCATTATAATAATATCGTCGTAAAACACCAAATAACAGATGAAAATGATGCAATTACTGATGCAGGGATAGGAGGGTCGTTTCAGCGCACTCCACGATGATGTCTGACAGAATAGAATAGAAAAATGTTTATTCAAATAATTGAAGCACTTTTGAATCTGAATTTGATATTTGGGGGAGGCCTATGTCCAGCAGTGGACGTCTTCCGGGCTGAAATGTTGAAGCACTTTTGAATAGTCACCACATTTTTTTCAATCTACCACTCATTCGGTAAGCTGTCTCATCACAAGAAGAACGAGACAGAACTGAAACACGACTACATACTCATCGGCGGTACCCCTCTGATTGATGCCCCGTCCTATTCAAACGGGGATCGAAATTACGATTGCCTGAGCTGAGGTTCGAACCCCTAGCGGCGCGGCGCCCTCAGACTAAAGTTGTATCCGTCAGGCGGGAGTTGGCCTTCAGCCGCTCCATAACTCCTTCCTTGGTTTGGAGTGCCATCTGCACTCGCCCCCTATCGTCCGGTGAAGCTATAAAGGCCAGCTGCGGCCAGCATTAGAGTAGTCTGAAAAAAATATTAAAAAAAAATCGAGGCGGTCGTAATAAACTCTCCTAATGCAATAAAGCCGCTTTCTTTGCTCGGGGATACTCACAATCAGTAGTTCAAACAAGAATTGTGCCTCGTTTATAAGAAGCACTTCTGAGGAAAACTATATTTATACAAATAAAATAAACATCGGGACGGGTTTCTTCGGGAGATAGGGGAAAGAAAGAGGTCGAAGTAAAATCAATATTGTCCGAGCAGTGATAGCGTTGTGAAGAGTTAAATATAACGTTGCAGCCGATCGCTTTGTGGTCCTGTAATTGTTGTTTGTGTTGGCCGAGTGTACGGCGTCACGTCGCGTCGTGCCAGTGAGTGGCGTGCGCCACGTTATTGTTGTTGTGTTGTGTTGTTGTTGTGTTGTGATGCGTTGTGTTGTGTTGTGATTTTTTATGGATGATAATTGTTTGGGACTGTGTGTAGTGGTAATTAAAGGCGCAATATGAATGTATAACAGTATATTATAAAATATATGTCGTAACATAACTAGTATGGTAACAGAAGGCAAGAGCAATAAAGGAATAACAAAATTAACGAACTATATCTTTAAAACTACGCAACGGATTTTGAGGCGGTTTCTTTTAAATAGATAGAGTGATTCAAGAGGAAGGTTTATATATATAATACATGTACACCGTTGGAAGCCGAGGCGAGTAGCGAGTCGACAATAAAAAGATAACTTTCAAACTTACAACTGAACTGCGACAGGTACATCATTAACATCACAATGTTATTATGATGTTATTGACGTCACATTTCAGATATTAGATTGTTATTAGACATTTCACAATTTTGCTTAAACAATAACAATAAAAACAATAATAAAACATGACTATAAATATATACCAATGTGGTCACAAAAGGTGGCAGATTTTTTATTTTTTTATACCACGATGTTGGCAAATAAAGCATACAACCCATCTGATGGTAAACTTTAAATTCAAAATCATTTATTCATGTAGGACGTTTTAGCCGCTTATGAACGTCAAATTTTTACATTCTAATTTTAATTTTTTCCCTACCGTCTAGTTCGGTATATAGATCCAATCGAGAAGAACTGGCAAGAAACTCAATTGAGTTACTTTTTTTTTTAAAAGCCAGCTTATCTATCGACGCCTGAGATACCAGGGGTGTCACCTGCGCGTTGCCGACCCTTAAGAAACCTTAATATACCCTTCTTGAAAAACCCCATGCTGTAGTCTCGTTAGAAAACCTCAGCAGGTAGTTCATTCCACAATCTAAGTGTACGCGAGAGGAAGCTCCTCTGAAACTGCATTGCCCGAGACCACGTAGGTTCTTGTGTAGGAATGAATTCCCTGTCGATAGCGAGAGGTGCGATGGTAAATAATTAGATTTACCCTTAAATAAATTCAAAACATCTGTTAAATCATATTTACTGAGCAAAGCCTATTACTTACTAGACGATTACTTGAATGACGAGCGTGCATGGCAATAGTTGTTCATGCACGGGATTTTCATTTAATGTTAGACATAGACACCTATATAAATATACATTGTAAATAAACTGGCTTTTAAAAAAAAAAGTAACTCAAATAAGTTTCTTGCCAGTTCTTTTCAATTGGATCTATATAAAAAATCTAAATTATAATGTAAAAACTTAAAGTTCATAAGCGGCTTAAATGTCCTACATGAATAAATGATTTTTGAAAAGGCAGTGAGTGAGTTTGGGCATAGATTATCCCAGTTCTGGACACAGTTCATGTGAGATACATCTGAAGCTATGTAGTCTACAGAAGCCACTTTTGTAATTAGAAACTTAATATTCTGAGCGTCATTTTCCGTCTTGCAGTACTTGCCTATTCATCTGTCAGTCGGACGCCTACGTTTCTTTACAACAATTAATTAGAACTGTCAACAATGTCGTCTTCAAAGAGAAAAGGGGTAATTAACAAAATGTTAAACAATACTATAGCTACGTACATCTAATACAGAACCGATGCTCGCTGCAGTAGGCGTGTTCTAGAGTGGAGACCGCGAATTGGCAAACGTAGTGTAGGACACCCCGCAGCTAGGTGGAGCGACGACATACATAGGGTTGCGGGTAGTAACTGGATGAGAAGGGCTGAAGATCGTGCCCAGTGGCGTGCCTTGGGAGAGGCTTATGTCCAGCAGTGGACTGAAGTAGGCTGATGATGATGATGACATCTAATACAATATAACTTATCACGCGGCTCTACTCGTGGTCGTCTGTGTGTATTTATAATACTTTTATCCAATTAGTAGGATATTATCTCGCATATTTCGCCACATATTATCAATAATATGTCAGGACGATTTACACAGCGCAATCTAGTACCAAAGTTAACCAATGTTATGGACACTAGACTTGCAGAGGAAAATCCGGAAGTTGATATTTGCTCAAAAGTTGACGTTCCTTGTCACATCACAACGTTGTTATATTTGTATGTTTTATTGTATATATTATTTATTTATTCACTTATGTTTTTATTTTTTATAGACTAACATACATATAATATAATATTTAAAAACTAATACAATGATATTGCCTGTATGATCACGGCACTGAAGACGGCAATCTGCCACAGTAGCGCCGATATACCACACCTTTCGGCCAGTAGTCCTCTTTCATGAAGGTGGGCAGAAAGTCGGTGGGGACCAGGGCCACAAACGCTTTGAAACTCGCGTTGTGACTCGACTTCAGCTGCGTCACCCTCAATGTCAGGTTACTCTTGGTACGGATATAATCGACAATGTCCTGATCCTTAGTGGCGTAATGTAGACGGGACGGGTACATTGTCGTGGTCGGTGCAGCAGTATTATTGGTATCACTTAACTTTAGTTAATATTATTGACATGTGTAATATATAATAGCACGCTGTGGTCACCTATAAATATAACAACAGTCAGTATAAAACCATTAGAATTGTATAGAATCACCACAGATTTTTATTGTTGTATCTTATGTTGGTAATCCTTAAAAATACATAAATAAATAGACAACAGATATAAATACACACATAACATAAAAAATATTCAGACCGATACAAACAATCATACTCATAAATACAAATATTTGTAGCGTGCGTGGAATCGAAGCCGCGATCATCGAAAGTATGGCGCTGTGCTAAACCGCTACACCACGGCGACCGGCGAATACAATACTTTAGCGTTAAAAATATTCAACATCATGAACAAATATATCTGGCTTTTTTACTTTATATATATATATAGAATATGTGTATAAATGTATCATTACATAGTTTTTTAATACGTTATATTGCTGAATCGGGGGCTACTCTTTGAGAATCAAACACAAAATGTTGAGAGAGAACATGCGAGTTTCAAGTAGAGCAGAAGATTCTGCTATACTTGAAACTCGCATGGATCATCGTAGATGACTACCCTGAATTTGACTGACTCTCCGGCGAATGAAAAATGATCTGCGAAACAGTGCGCCGGTATGTTCACCCCTACCATATTCTAATATATCCAGCGAAAAAACTGCCTGAAAAAACCTACAAATATCTGTTGGGACTCCGTGTCCTGTCTATATTTCCAAGTGTCTGTGCGTCTGTTTCACCGTAACTCCGGTGCGGTGTACCGAAATGGTTTATGTGCTCGGCGACGACTTCATCCCCGAGTTTCGTTTATGGCCTTCGAATTACCATAATGTGATACCCGTTGCCGTAATGGGCATTGTTTCCGCACTTTACGACTCAAGTTCGCAGCGAGATGAACAGCGTTCGTCATTTACGTTAAGTATCCATTGATACGCTGTTTTGTATATTTATTTGATGACCCAGTTGGCACGGCGCTGCGTGCCTCGCGCTCGAAGGGTTCCGGTCTCGATTCCGGGAACGGGACTGTTTTTGTTGTGTACAATACAAATAAAATGTATCGGGAACAGTGGCGTGCTGGCGACTAATGTTACGTCTGTGTCGCAGGGTACTGAAGCGGAATCGAATCACACACATCGAGGACCGCGCCTTCGTCAACACGCCCTCCATACGTGTCCTGTAAGTACCTACTACATTTTTTTATTTACCTAGAATAGCAAATAAAACTTTGGACCGGTAAGCCGTAAGTAACCCTTACCTATGGACATGATCAGAACTACAGGCATTAGGTTATTTTTTGACGGCCTCAGTGGTCTAACAATTTAATACACCGCTTTGCTACCGATGGTCGCGGGTTCGATTCCTCACATTGCACAAACATTTATAGTCATGAGTATGATTGTTTGTATAGGTCTGGGTGTTATCTGTGTATATTGTGTATGCATTTATAAAAAAATTACATTTATTTGTATCAGTTGTGTAGTACTCATAATACAAGCTCTGCTTAGCTTGGGACTAGATGGCGCTGTGTAAAGTATCCTGAATTATTATTATTATAGGACACCACTCATGCGTTCCCATAAGATATCATGCCTTTTATGGTACACAGTTACCTAGATACATCAATATTATAATTGCATTTAATAATGGCTAGTAAGACAAATCCAATATTGTGTACTAAACACTGGCAGTGCTTAATACACAATATTCGATTTATGTGCGTGTTTGTTGTTTTTGTCCGTGTCTAAACTCTGTCACCCCACCTTACATTTTCCTATTGTCATTTATTATATAATATCAATATTTTTATGTACATATTATCAGCCTATTATTACTCGTAATATACATCGTCTCAACCAACGACATAGTATTGTTACCCGCAACACCTCTGTTAGGTATGTTAATAAGTTATAGTCGGTTAATTGTATATAAAAGTAGTATATTAAAATAAAAGTAAATTGCAAACATATAAAGTTATATAGAACGGCATAAAATAATTAGGAATCAGGAGTACAACAGTTTATCAGAATGTCTGAAGAAGAAGCCATTTTGTAGTTTGTTATTTTTCCCGCGCAAACGTAACGTGCCACAGATGCAGAATATTGGCGCGCAGCCGCAGTACGATGACGAGGGCGTACAGCTATGCTGTATGCGCGATGTTAATATGACTATTAACACCTCTTACATTTGACTACATTATTTCAGCCTATAACCGAAATACAGCTTTCAAAGTCTGCTGTAGGGCAGCCAAAATAGCTGACCATAAAGTGGTTACGCTGACAAATTTTCACCGTTTACCTGTGATGCAAACTATCACATCATTTAATCTACCTGAAACCCAACTAACCTTTCACTAGCAATCAATTTAAATTACTTCGACTACATTCAACAGGGGCGGATCTACCTAAGGGCTTTTTGGGCTGCAGCCCAGGGCCCCGAGGATGCCAAGGGCCCCAGTCCCCACTGAAACGATATTTAGTATATAAAAAAATACCTAGAAAGTTAAAAATACTATCATAAGGTTGGCAACCCTGAGATCGATCAACCCATGCAAGTTCGCGTCTATCGAAAGGAGCGGGGAATTTCTGGTCGCTTGTTTTTGGTCGGTGTATTTTTTTTGTTGAGTAATATAATTAAGTAAGATAGCCCAGGGCCCCACAAATTCACGATCCGCCCCTGACATTTAAGCTACATTACTGAATTGAAATCACTAACTTGTAATGTAGAGCGCGTTAAGTTCAGTGGCGACATTTAAAACACTTTAATAATTCTTTTTAAACAGACAATTATTGTAATTGTAAAATGGCTGACTTATGCGAGTGGCCTGTGTGACTGGGGTGGTGGAGCACTATGTGCAACTAACGGCGCTGATCTCTATTTATCGGCATACAATTTATCCAAATAATTTTTGTTAAAATTGTTCGTCGTTTATTCGAACATATTTTTTCTGTAAAATATATCTAATATATATGACAGCCTCGGTGGTCTAGTGGTTTAGCATACCGCTTTACTATCCGATGCTCGCGGGTTCGATTCCTCGCACGGTACAAACATTTGTATTCATGAGTATGATTGTTTTAATCGGTCTGGGTGTTTTCTATGTATAATATGTATTTATTTACAAAAAAAATGCATCCATGTATTTATATCAGTTGTCTAGTACCCAAAACAAAAGCTTTAGCTAGCTTAACTTGGGTCTAGATGGCGTTCTGTGAAAAAAAAAAAATTAAGTAAAATTTATTTTATTATAGGGAATTATAATAATTATGAATAATATTAATTATTATATAAGATTAATTGTTAAATTTATAAATTTCAGATAAATAAATAAAATAATGTTACCACGTAAGTGTTTGTACTACAATGCGCCGCTTACTAACTTCTCAGTTTGCTTTATGGTTGGCTGGGAGAGAACGCCCTTAGGTGTTAAGTTCGCCATATGTACAGTTATATATTATATTTTTGCATTAAATTTTAAATAAATAAATATTAATATTTATCTAAATTTGCATACCCGAAATGTACCTGAATATGTTTAAAGCAAATAAATTTAAAAGTAAATAAATATATATTATAAAACCTGTTTAACCTATATCACTAAAAAAATAAACCCAAGCCAAATGTACCTAAGTAGTATGCGCAAGTGGTCTCAACATCTACGTGCAACTAACTATCTACATTTGCAGCAGTCTGCAGCTCAATATAAATAAAAAAGATACGTTAGTGGTCGTTGTAGCTTATCTGTGGCTAATATTGTCGCCGCCGGCGCCACACACCACCCCACCACCTCACCACCACACCACTTACTTACCTTACATTATACTATACCCACTTACCTTATATTATACTAGCTGTGCCCGCGACTTCGTCCGCGCGGAATTTAACTTATTTTTCTAAAATAAAAGTAGCCTAAGTTACTCCTTATTACATCAGCTACCTGCCAAAAAAAGTCCCGTCAAAATCGGTCCAGCGATTTTAGAGATTAGACGGAACAAACAGACAGACAAAAATTGTAAAAAATGTTATATTTATGTATGTACCATATTTATATTCATATGCATGTAGTAAAAAACGGTTATTTCAATTTTACAAACATACACTCCAATTTTATTTATATGTATAGATTAGGTACATAAACACAGCATACAGTTTCAAATTTGACGCGGTCGTTATTATACGTATAATTAGTAAAAATCACGGGATCTTACCACGTTTTATATTTACTGAGTTCCCGATATTTCGGCAGTGTTTCAACCGCCGTAATTACGGATAAACTGCTTACCCGATTGATTTTTACTAATTATACACAACATACACTGTTGCCACTACGTGTGACAGTCCCAATTCACCACCCACTCTTATCTATTCCTTTATCAATAAGTCCCAGTCATTAATTAAACGTCCAGATTAAATCCGAGCTAAGACCATCCAGTCCAAGGTTACACGCAATCTTCAAATTAATTTTAAATCCCCTATGCATGTTTAAAAAAGAGGCGGAAGGCCTCTCAAGAAGGGAAACTAAACTATAATATTTAAACCATTAAATATTATAGTTTAGTTAATTGTCTATGTTTAAGTTAAACATGACCTATTAAAACATTGATAGCACATGAAACCCTTTTTGTAAAAAAGCCATAAAATTATTGTAATAAAAAATAAATAAAAATCTTTTTTATTTCTGTAGACACGGTCTATCATTTTATATTAATTTTATTGATTTCAAGGTAGGATTTCACCAAACAAACTTTAGTTCGAACTGAACGCCAGTAAAAAACGTTTAAACGTGTTCAAAGCTTCATTTTGCATTTCACCACTAAAAATTTCGCTAAACACGTTTATATCTTCTGAACGCACGATTTCCTACAGTTAACTCTTTAAACGTATTTAAAACAGCTGTCAGTTGTCAAACAGTCACCTATCAAATTGTTGTCAGTATAATATAGGGAATAAAATGAAAATTGCCAGTAGTGTAAAAAAAAATCCTCAATAAAATAATGTTTTACTAGTTTATAAGTAAAGGTTGTTGTTATATATTTTGAAGTCGTCGATAATTATTAAATTAATAACTAAGAAACTTATCCTAATTATCACATAATTGAATTACAATTATTTCTTAAAATTATTTTATTTAAATTACCAATTACATCAAATATTATTTTATGAGCGTGTAACACTGTGAACGAATGAAAATCTAAACTTAATTTTGGTAAACGCGATCTATATAACGCTGGTGAATTCCATTTAAAATAAAACGAGATCAACGTCGTTCTTTTTTTCGAGTTCATGCTGAACTCCGTTTCCTTGAACGTGTTTATACTATGATTGGTGAAATCCAGAATGTATTAAAAATAGATCAGAGTTAGAAAGGCAAACAACTTTTAAAATTGCCTATTGCATGAATATCACTCAGGATGTCACAGCAATATTTTAAATAATCAATATTTAGATTATTATTAAAATAGAGCGGATAAGGGAAATGTACCTGATTAAATACCGAAGACAGAGTGCGTTCCGGTACGAGTCGTCCGGTCGCGCCGCTCCGGTTGGTAACACGTGGTGATCAATCTCTGCCAGGGGCGGATCGTGAATTTGTGGGGCCCTAGACTAAAACTACTTAGGGGCCTGCCTACCTAATTATATTACTCAACTAAAAAAACTTCCGCAGACGCGCTTCTCTCTGATCGGTTTTTTTAAATTTTACCTTTTTTTTAATCTAAATATCGTCTATTCTTTTTATTGTAGTTTTTTTTATACTACTATGGTGGCAAACAGGCATACGGCCCATCTGATGGTAAACTGTTACCGTTTCCTATGGACGCCTGAAACACCAGGTGTGTCACGTGAGCGTGTTTTTGAAAAACCCCATGCTGTAGTCTCGTGAGAAAACCTCGGCAGGAATTTCATTCCACAACCTAAGTGTATTATTGGGGGGGGAGGGGATTGTTAGTAATGTGGACTCATTGGCCCATTACTAGCAATGTACCATGTCAGGTTGGAAACCATCGTGATAAATTCCTGCTGAATTTGTCACGATGGGCTAACTGACCTGATCTCATATCCTCCACTGGTGCCCCGCCATTATTATCATCCTTAAAAAAAAAAAGTGTATTATTGTGTATAGATAAAACGAAAAATACGGAGAAAGAATTGCAAAACTGAAGTGACAATAGGCAGGGCAC